AGCATTATATTATGTAGACTACTCTCACTGGAAACAATTGGTGTGAAAGCGTGCAAATTACTGCAATCACTAGAAATAACTGAAGTCAGTCTGGAAATAACTGCAACGAACAGAAATAACTGCAGTCATCCTGGAAATAACTACAACCACTGGAAATAACTCCAGTCAACTTAGAAATAACTACAATAACCATAAATATCTGCTGTCAACTTGGAAATAACTACAACCAACAACTTTACGAACAATCCCAAGAACCATCACATTTGATGCAGGTATTTACGATCAAACTTGAACATTATAACTTATATCTTATTTAATGTAAAGTTACCTTTTAACAGTTCCTTAGTATTTTAAACTCTCTTAACTCAAGACACCGAAGCTTAACTAAAACCGTCTTTCAGCTAATCGTTACTTAAAACTTGTTTAATATTAAATTATTATGGATTATTTTTAACTACAGTCTTAAACAATGCCTGCTGTCCACCCTTATCTGTCTTGGACAGTCCAATATAATGACCTGTCCACCCTTATCTGTCATGGACAGTCATATATAATGATCTGTCCACCCTTATCTGTCATGGACAGTCATATATAATGACCTGTCCACCCTTATCTGTCATGGACAGTCTTATATAATGATCTGTCCACCCTTATCTGTCATGGACAGTCATATATAATGACCTGTCCACCCTTATCTGTCATGGACAGTCATATATAATGATCTGTCCACCCTTATCTGTCATGGACAGTCATATATAATGACCTGTCCACCCTTATCTGTCTTAGAGAGTCCTAAACAATTCCCCTCTGTCCACCTCTGAATATTGTCCAGGGCTAAAGCAAATTCAGTGCATACATATCGAGAAGCTGGGATGTATACATGTATGCCTATGGAGATAACGTTTGACTGTGTCTGTGGAGCATGTCAGTGAATGCACCGCTCATTTATATCTGTCTTTGATGTCCATAGGGAATGGAAAGGATGGGGGAGGTAGAGGGATGGAGAGATGAAATTCTGGAAGAGGATGCGGGTGTAGAGAGAGAGGAGGTTTGAAAGTTCGGTGGCCTGTCCACCATAAATCTGTCGTATATTTGGAATAATGTGTGTGCTGCTGGTCTAATGTGTGTGTCACAGCCGTCACTGCTTCATTTATTTATCTGTCTTTGTGTCTGGTGTGTTTGCCAGCTCCCCAGTTCAATGCTAATGGTTCCATAGCATGTTATGAACATGATGTTTTCAACTGATGTGTAAAGTTTTGATTTATGGATTTCAGGGGGGTCCCCCTTTCTGCGTTATTCAAGGATTAATTGAGGATGGTGTGCTATTGCATGCCTTGCTTTTCCAAATTCGTCGATAATTTGAATTTGGAGAATTTAACAGTGTCTTGGTACCCATTTATGGATAATATATAATAATCGAAAAAGGTGTTGCCGGAGGAGTTGTAGGCAGGGGTAGTGGTGTATATATATATATATATATATATATATATATATATATATATATATATATATATATATATATATATATATATATATATATATGTCGTACCTAATAGCCAGAACGCACTTCTCAGCCTACTATTCAAGGCCCGATTTGCCTAATAAGCCAAGTTTTCATGAATTAATGTTTTTTCGTCTACCTAACCTACCTAACCTAACCTAACCTAGCTTTTTTTGGCTACCTAACCTAACCTTACCTATAAATATAGGTTAGGTTAGGTTAGGTAGGGTTGGTTAGGTTCGGTCATATATCTACGTTAATTTTAACTCCAATAAAAAAAATTGACCTCATACATAGAGAAAAGGGTTGCTTTATCATTTCATAAGAAAAAAATTATAGTAAATATATTAATTCAGGAAAACTTGGCTTATTAGGCAAATCGGGCCTTGAATAGTAGGCTGAGAAGTGAGTTCTGGCTACTAGGTACGACATATATATATATATATATATATAAATATATATATATATATATATATATATATATATATATATATATATATATATATATATATATATATATATATATATATATATATATATATATGTCTGACAGTGTCAGACCACGGAGGAAGAATTGAAACAGGAATTTCTTTAAGTACTTTCGTATTTAATAATACATCTTCAGAAGGGTGTATAATACACCATTCTGAAGATGTATAATTAAATACGAAAGTACTTAAGGAAATTCCTGTTTCAATTCTTCCTCCGTGGTCTGACACTTTCACTTTTTCATCACGTGTTAATTTTCGTGATTTACACATATGCACACACACACACACACACACACACACACACACACACACACACACACACACACACACACACACACACACACACACACACACACACACACACAACATCAGAACAGCGTTCAGGAACCTGTGTAAGGAATCATTCAGAATCTTGTACACCACATATGTAAGACCAATCCTGGAGTATGCGGCCCCAGCATGGAGCCCGTACCTTGTCAAGCACAAGACGAAGCTGGATAAAGTTCAAAGGTATGCCACTAGACTAGTCCCAGAACTAAGAGGCATGAGTTACGAGGAAAGGCTGCAGGAAATGCACCTTACGACACTGGAAGACAGAAGAGTAAGGGGATACATGATCACAACCTACAAAATCCTTAGAAGAATCGACCGGGTAAACAAAGATAAACTCTTCAGCACTGGTGGTACGCGAACAAGGAGACACAGGTGGAAACTGAGTACCCACATGAGCCACAGGGACGTTAGAAGGAACTTTTCCAGAGTCAGAGTAGTTAACAAATGTAATGCATTAGGCAGTGATGTGGTGGAGGCTGACTCCATACACAGTTTCAAATGTAGATATGATAGAGCCCAGTAGGCTCAGAAATCTGTACACCAGTGGATTGACAGTTGAGAGGCTGGACCAAAGAGCCGAAGCTCAACCCCCGCAAGCACAAATAGGTGAGTACATTTTTGCTATTTTTGTTTATATACAAGAATTCTTACATTCTTGTATAGCCACCAGCACGCGTGGCGTTTCGGCCAGGTCCTTAATCCTAATATTCCCTGGAATACGACCCGCCAAATCGTTTAACAACCAGATACCCATTTTACTGTTAGGTAAACAGAGGCTACAGTTAAGGATTGACACCCAGTAAATCCTCCCCGGCCAGGATACGAACCGAGGAAAATCCCTCGCGAAACGGCAGGGGAGTGTCTTAACCACTACACCACGGTAGTGGACATCGTGGTGATATCCCCGTGGTGGTTCCCGGTCCAGTAGTGAATACTTGAATTTTCATGGGTGAAAAAGCCATGAATGAAGCCAAACATCATCATCACATTACTAGGCCCTCCTTGTGAGCCACACTCCGGAGCCGGTCGGCCGAGCGGACAGCACACTGGGCTTGTGATCCTGTGGTCCTGGGTTCGATCCTAGGCGCCGGCGAGAAACAGTGGGCAGAGTTTCTTTCACCCTATGCCCCTGTTACCTAGCAGTAAAATAGGTACCTGGGTGTTAGTCAGCTGTCACGGGCTGCTTCCTGGGGGTGGAGGCCTGGTCGAGGACCGGGCCGCGGGGACACTAAAGCCCCGAAATCATCTCAAGATAACCTCAAGATAACCACACTCACCCAATACCTGCATGAAGGACGGCCAGGAAACATGGTGCATTAGGACTAGATGGGGTACCAGGCGGTGCCCGGGTGCCGTATCTCCCACCTCCCTCTCCACTCTCCCCCTCCTACCTCTCTCTTCCATCTTTCCCTTCCACTCTTTCCACCTATTCCCGTCCACTTTCCCCCACTCTTGCTCTCCTCCCCTGTCTCTCTCTTCCCCTCTCAGAACTTGCAATCCCAACAAACCACAAAGTAACTACAAAGTTTTTTGTACTGTTGTTATTTTGATGCACCTTTGTAACGAATTAACCATCGTAAAGAAGTAATCATTGTAACGAAGTAACAATGTTAACCCTGTCGTGGTTGTGGTGTTTGCGGGGTGGGATATTCCAAGCCATTCTCCTGTTTAGATAGCAGTTTGTGTAACTATGAGCACCATAGTACAAATTTTGCCATTCTAAACAATTAGATAGTAGAACTTTGTACTATTCACTTTATAGATTCGGAAAAATTGAAGCTAAAAACAAACTTAAATATTCCTAGGCCTAGTATAGCACACATTTTAACGTGTCAGTTTAGTTTGTCTTTGCAACTTAAGTAGAAAATAGTTTTCCGGGTTGTCCAACTCAATAGTGCCGATTTCTACTTCCTAATTTCATTGTACGTCGGTATATATACTATGGTGCTCATCGTTACTATAAGTACTACCAAAACAGAAGTGATGGGTTGGATATTTACACCAGCTGAAAACTGACGAGACGCAATTGAAGCCAATCGGCTGATCTCATCCAGGCCTTAAAAATACTAAACAATTTGAATGATATTAATCCAGACCACTTCTCTGTAAGGTCAAGTGTAACGCACACAAGGGGCAATAGCTTCAAACTCAATAAGCCACAATGTAGGACCGAAAACAAGATATTATTTTTCACCCATATGGTAACAAACCCATATAATCTCCTATCCACCCAAGTCGTAAATGCCAAGATATTACTCATGTTTAAGATTCAGCTGTAAAAAATCCTCAGGAATAATAGCAGTTCTCAGGTAAATTAATGCTAAAGCTTTGTGCATAGCTCATCATTCACTTGTGCTGCACTCTGTGCTCTGGTTAACATGCTCTCTAACTCGCCATGCAGGTGATGTGACCCGGGTGACGAGTGACGAACAGTCCACCACTGAATCTGACAAACTTATTAAAGCTAAACCTACCACTTCTCACAGACTGTGTATAAAACATGTGACTACATGATTTCTTTGCAGTTACGTGTCAGGATTTCTATACGTGACTTTGCCAGGCTGACGTCAGTATGTAAAACAAAATTATAGCTTCTAGATCTTCCGTTTCCCCATCCCGCCTCCCTCTCTACTGTTTCGTCTGTCTACTTAACTAACCTGTGGCTCATCTTGCAGATGGCCTGGACCTGGAGACGCTTGATCTGGCCGCCCTGGACAGCCTCGACTACCTGTTCCCCGAGCCGCCCACGCCGCCCACACCTCTCAACATGCCGCCGCTCATCGGCCCCATGGAGTCGCCGAGGGAGGAGGACGTGGGCGTGATGGAGGGTGTGTCCCTTCTGCCGGGGTTGGACGACCTCCCGTCTCTGACCGACACTGTGCCCACACAAGACTCGATTTCTGACCACATGTCCAAGAACACTTCGGAGCATGCCTCCTGCGGTGATTTCCCGCCCATGGGTGAAATGCCAAAAACGACACTGATGAAAATGGGCGGATGTCCCCGGCAGCCGCCACCCCTGGAGCTGCTCCAACACGGTGGCCTCTCACACCCGTCCCTTGACCTCTCTCTGGCTTCTGTTGACCTCCCACGCTTCGACGTCAACCTCTCCGCCCTCGACGTCTGCCCGCCGCCATTCAGCATCGACCTGCCAGCGGACATGACCTGGGCAGCACCGCGGGGGGAGGATGTGGGCGGGGGCGGGGGTCTTTTCTCACAGCTGCTGGAGGACGAGGTAGAAGAGAGCCCTAAGGTGGTCAACGTGTTCCTCACCGGTCATGACTACACCAACAAGGTCGAGGGCGTTCACCACCCGCCTCTGCCGCCATGCCAGCCCATGACCTCCCTCCTAGGAGGTCGTCTAGGGCCCCCAATGCACCTTCCCCCTAGGGAGCCGCCCCCGCCAAGACCGGATCCCCCGCGGGATGATGAACGGGTCTTCCAGTGCTCTTACTCACGATGCGGGAAGGTGTACGCCAAGTCCTCACACCTGAAGGCTCACCTGCGGCGCCACACTGGGGAGAAACCATTTGTGTGCACCTGGCCCGGGTGCTCTTGGAGGTTTTCTCGCTCGGACGAGCTGGCTCGCCACCGTCGCTCCCACTCCGGCGTCAAGCCCTACCGCTGTCAGGTCTGCGACAAGCGCTTCTCCCGCTCCGACCACCTGGCCAAACACCACAAGGTATGTCCCACATGTTTCCCACACTCATTCCCCCGTCTCTCACGTTGTCATCCTCGTAAATACGTATTTTGGATGGTTTTCAATTGTCGGAAACAGGATGTCTATTAAGCTGATCGACGTTTCCCTAGCCAACGATTGGCAATTTCCTAGGATGCTACCCGTAACAGTTGACTAACTCCTGTTTACTGCAAGGTGCACAAATACATCAGGTATAAGGAAACGTGACTAAAGGACTCGTTCTGGCATTGAATCGTACCCTGCAGAACTAATCGATTTTCAGCTAGCTGTTCAGACCACTAAATTATGGAATTCACTTACCAAAAATGGACGATAGGCTATGTACACTGGCGACGGTAAACTCTCCTCAGCTTGATGTCTGCAGCCAGGAGTATCAGTCGCGGTAGGCTGAGTTGGTAACGTCCTCTGGTGGACTGTTATATGGCAGTTCTGCTGATCTTTGCCACCAGCTGAGATAATCTGTCAATGACCGCCTCACACACCACAAATAAATTGTTCATCATCACAACTTTCGTCGGATGATCGCTTCTGTTGTCAGTGTCAAGATATTTACGTTTTCTATGGTTCGGAGTCACGGAATTTTAACATGCATATATAGATGCACATACTTGTTGTTTTGTGTGTAATGAGAGCTATATCTTATTCCAATAAGTGTTCGATGCTGAAGGGTAGCTTGATAGTGATAAGTTGTTGTCTGAAACTTACTCTTACTCTGTGATGTCTGAAGCAGAGTAGTAAAAAAGTTAGCTTGTCTCTGGAATTTTGCATTGGATTAAATGTTAATTTATGTCTATCTTGTTAGTACAGCTGTGCTGCTAGTTTTGTACGCCTCAGCCTTAGTCTGGTCGTTCTTTAATCTATTTCTCTCTGTATATATACTTGGTATGTTTCCAACCTTGCCAGGTCTTTTCATACATGTGGCTACGACGTTTTGGACGATGATGGATTATAGGGGTCACTCCATATTACATAGAAAATTCGTTAGTGTGTGTGTTGTAGCGTGTATAGTTTTCTTATTATTAACAAGTTCATTTATACAATATTGTGTTGCTGCCCTAGTTTATATGAGGGATTACAAGGTATGGGCCTAGAGCCAGGTAGCCGTAAGTTCCCAATATACCCCCTATCTCACAGGTGGGGTTAGTCATACCTGGGATGTGAGGCTAGACTACTAGCTTGTACTAGCAACATTTGGGTACAGTATGATACTATCTTCTAATATCCATGAATGAATGTAACTTTTAAAATTCACTGTACACTGTAAAAAACATTGTACATCTTTTGCATTGCTCTATTTTTAATTATTTTCCTAATTTGTGATAGACTCTGAAGTTTGTAAATGTCTACATTTCTTCTCTTAGCTGCAAGTTTTGCAGCTTCGTCTGCAGTATCATTTCCTATTATTCCCACATGACTTGGCACCCAGTTGATAAGTACCCGACGGGCCCTGTGATTGCTCTCATTATATTCAGTCGTGATTTTCCTTTCTCCTTCAGATATTGAATTTGCTTGTTGAATGTCATTTTAGAATCTATCCACACTTCGAGATATTGATATTGTGTAACCCACTGAAGGTCAATGTCTTGAATGCGTAGGTGCCTGTCTGGAGTGTTGCCGCCTAGTTTCATTGCCTTAGACTTCTGTGCAGATATTTTTAGCCCTAAAATGCTGCATTCAGATGTTACTTTATCTAATGCACCTTGTGCTTTATTTAGAAATGAAGGACCTGTAATGACTAATGCTATATCATCAGCATAGCTTAACAATTTAACCTCTTCTGCAAATGTCATGATAACGAGAGTTTATTGCTGACTTTCTAAATACAAATATCTTATCACGTATTTATTATTTATAAGTTAGCCTATTGGAATAAATTATTATTATTATTATTAATGTGATTTTGATTGTTTTAATTTTTATGATAATTACTATCAAACATCTAAACACGAGCTCGTTGTTCCCCAGGTACACCGTCGGGATCGTGTACTGGCGCTCTACGGTCCTCTGTCTAATGCCCTGCCTGCACGCCGCCCGAGACCAGCCCCGACCACCACCAACCCACCTCCCAATATCCGCCCACAAACGTCGACGCACGCCCACATCGCCACTCACCAGCCTCTGCCGCCCGTGGTTCACACCATCGAGTTTCATAGCGCTCGTCCCATTCGAGTTTGCCAGTGACTCGAATCGGCTAGTGAGGGGGATCAAATATGACGTAACTCTGTCAATACAGAAGGGATCAGAAATGACGCGTGTCATCCAATAAGGGAATCTGATATGACGCCAACTAGTTAATGAGGGTATCCAATATAGCGCGAATTTGCCTGTGATGGGATCCAATATGACACATATCAGTCAGTAAGAGGATTTAGTATGGTGCGAGTCAGCCAGTGAAGGAACCCAGTACGCAGCAAGGTTGACAGAAAACCGACCTGATGTGACGCGAGTCTTCTGGTGAGGATATTTAATATGGAGCACTAATGTGTAAATGATGGGATTCAAGATGGCGTGGACAACTTCACTAACCGTGTCTCCTGAACCGGATGTTGGAGTGTGTGCTACACTAGCCTCCAAGGAACGAAAGTAATGACATATTCCAGAAACCTCTGAATGTGCACTGTGGTAATTCTACCTAACTGAACGCCTAATTAAATATATGAAAGAAGTCGATCATCATTTGTTTGCGACACCATCGCTTTAGTTTCACAAGTGGCGCAAAAAGAGATATTTTAATAAAACTGAATTTTTGTTTTGTATTCGAGTCTCTGTGAAAGTCAAGTGTGTAAAATTATGCTAATAACTCGTAGCAACGGAAAAAATTATTCACGAAAAAAATACCTTTTGTAGATACCGTACTTTGAAACATTCTTAAAATATATGAAACTAACTTGAGATCAAACCATTGTGATCAAAGGTTAATATTTCTTTGGGCAGCAACGAACTTCTGAATCTATGTATCCTGCTTAAACGAGATGGGAAAGATAGATCCTAGCGATCGCTGTGTCCATCTTTAATGTACAGTTTGGTCGTCAATTCCTGCCACAGTTTTCATCGAAATGTTCTCACATTTTCCGTGCAAGTGTTGGTTTTGAAGAAATGTTTTGCATATATCCACCCAGATCGATTACTATGATACTCTGACTGTAATATGCCACCTCCCATTTTTATAACATATTAAATATTTAACCATGATCTCTGAGATTAACAAATAGGGAAAACAAAACCTGTAAATACTTTATTTTTAAGTGCGTGTTAAGTTAAGCAAAATTCTTTCGGTATTGTGTAAGATATTGTGTAGTTTTGAGATCAAAACTTCAGCAGCCAAGGCCAAAGATTATCCTAAGTCGTGGCTAAGATTCGCATTGAGACAATGTTCAAGACTGACGTAGCAGATCACACACGTAAACATGGCCCATTTTATGTTAGCACGCACATTAGTTTAACCATTTAAATGTCGTGACAATTCAATTTCTTTCTTTATTATGCACCCCATACCCATCCCATGGGCGGTGGTGTAAAGGATTACAGAGGCACATAATCGGTTCAGGAACTGAACCCTCTAGTTCGTTTAGCTAAGCAAATAACAATCTTTTGACGCTAGTTACAAAATTATTAATGTTATATATACATGACAAATTTAATTTTCGTTGCTCAACGTCTGTATAGGCATATGCTTCTGGTAACTATGGATTCAAATAGAAAATGCTATAGAGTTTTATCCATTGCTGCTTAACTTTTATAATTTGTATAAATGAGTAATCATTAGAAAATTGTATTTAATAACTTTACTGCATTAAATATCTGGTGAAATTAATTGTTAAATTAAGATTATCTTTCTTTCCTTCTGTTTTAACAAATACAGCAGCCTATAGAGAAGGCAGGCCTATAATTTCAAGTTATTATAATTTTAATTTAATTTTCGTGCAGAATATGTTGCTATTATCTTGGACAATGTCTCTCAAATGCATTTCGAGGGGTTAATTAAAATCCCGCCACTTCTCTTTATTTCTGCATATAATAATTATGGTAAATGTTCTATAATTGTTTAATGGTTTTATCTTACTTTAGCATACAAATGATTGTATGGAAACTTTATGATATGAAGCAAGACATATTCCTAATATTATCACTCATCTGTCATCTAGTACATGTTGCCAGTACTAAATAAGTGTATAATATGCTGAAAATTAGTTCATCTCATGTGTAATGGAAAATAAGGTATATTTTAAGAGCTAATACTAATCTTAAATTAGGTATAAATTTCCAAACCTAAAAAAAAATACAAGAAATAAAGTTAAAAAACGTACTGTTAATTTAACACCTGGCATATTGATAGCATTAAGATAACGTGTAGCGAATATATATATATATATATATATATATATATATATATATATATATATATATATATATATATATATATATGTACCTAGTAGCCAGAACTCACTTCTCAGCCTACTATTCAAGGCCCGATTTGCCTAATAAGCCAAGTTTTCCTGAATTAATATATTTACTATAATTTTTTTCTTATGAAATGATAAAGCAACCCTTTTCTCTATGTATGAGGTCAATTTTTTTTATTGGAGTTAAAATTAACGTAGATATATGACCGAACCTAACCAACCCTACCTAACCTAACCTAACCTATATTTATAGGTAAGGTTAGGTTAGGTAGCCAAAAAAAGCTAGGTTAGGTTAGGTTAGGTAGGTTAGGTAGACGAAAAAAATATATTAATTCATGAAAACTTGGCTTATTAGGCAAATCGGGCCTTGAATAGTAGGCTGAGAAGTGCGTTCTGGCTATTAGGTACGACATATATATATATATATATATATATATATATATATATATATATATATATATATATATATATATATATATATATATATGTCGTACCTAGTAGCCAGAACTCACTTCTCAGCCTACTATTCAAGGCCCGATTTGCCTAATAAGCCAAGTTTTCCTGAATTAATTTATTTACTATAATTGTTTTCTTATGAAATGATAAAGCTACCCTTTTCACTATGTATGAGGTCAATTTTTTTTTATTGGAGTTAAAATTAACGTAGATATAAGACCGAACCTAACCAACCCTACCTAACCTAACCTAACCTATATATATAGGTAAGGTTAGGTTAGGTAGCCAAAAAAGCTAGGTTAGGTTAGGTTAGGTAGGTTAGGTAGACGAAAAAACATTAATTCATGAAAACTTGGCTTATTAGGCAAATCGGGCCTTGCATAGTAGGCTGAGAAGTGAGTTCTGGCTACTAGGTACGACATATATATATATATATATATATATATATATATGTCGTACCTAGTAGCCAGAACGCACTTGTCAGCCTACTATGCAAGGCTTGATTTGCCTAATAAGCCAAGTTTTCATGAATTAATTGTTTTTCGACTACCTAACTAACCTAACCTAACCTAACCTAACTTTTTCGGCTACCTAACCTAACCTAACCTATAAAGATAGGTTAGGTTAGGTTAGGTAGGGTTGGTTAGGTTCGGTCATATATCTACGTTAATTTTAACTCCAATAAAAAAAATTAACCTCATACATAATGAAATGGGTAGCTTTATCATTTCATAAGAAAAAAATTAGAGAAAAAATATTAATTCAGGAAAACTTGGCTTATTAGGCAAATCGGGCTTTGCATAGTAGGCTGAGAAGTGCGTTCTGGCTACTAGGTACGACATATATATATATATATATATATATATATATATATATATATATATATATATATATATATATATATATATATATATATATATATATATATGTCGTACCTAATAGCCAGAACGCACTTCTCAGCCTACTATTCAAGGCCCGATTTGCCTAATAAGCCAAGTTTTCATGAATTAATGTTTTTTCGTCTACCTAACCTACCTAACCTAACCTAACCTAGCTTTTTTTGGCTACCTAACCTAACCTTACCGATAAATATAGGTTAGGTTAGGTTAGGTAGGGTTGGTTAGGTTCGGTCATATATCTACGTTAATTTTAACTCCAATAAAAAAAAATTGACCTCATACATAGAGAAAAGGGTTGCTTTATCATTTCATAAGAAAAAAAATATAGTAAATATATTAATTCAGGAAAACTTGGCTTATTAGGCAAATCGGGCCTTGAATAGTAGGCTGAGAAGTGAGTTCTGGCTACTAGGTACGACATATATATATATATATATATATATATATATATATATATATATATATATATATATATATATATATATATATATGACAATGTCAGACCACGGAGGAAAAATGAAACAGGAATTTCCTTAAGTACTTTCGTATATTAATACATCTTCAGAAGGAGTATATATATTAATATACGAAAGTACTTAAGGAAATTCCTGTTTCATTTTTCCTCCGTGGTCTGACATTGTCACATTTTTAATCACGTGTTTATTTTCGTGATATACACACACACACACATATATATATATATATATATATATATATATATATATATATATATATATATATATATATATATATATATATATATATGTCGTACCTAGTAGCCAGAACGCACTTCTCAGCCTACTATGCAAGGCCCGATTTGCCTAGTAAGCCAAGTTTTCATGAATTAATTGTTTTTCGACTACCTAACCTAACCTAACCTAACTTTTTTGGCTACCTAACCTAACCTAACCTAACCTATAAAGATAGGTTAGGTTAGGTTAGGTAGGGTTGGTTAAGTTAAGTCATATATCTACGTTAATTTTAACTCCAATAAAAAAAATTGACCTCAAACATAATGAAATGGGTAGCTTTATCACTTCATAAGAAAAAAATTAGAGAAAATATAATAATTCAGGAAAACTTGGCTTATTAGGCAAATCGGGCCTTGCATAGTAGGCTGAGAAGTGCGTTCTGGCTACTAGGTACGACATATATATATATATAAATTGCATTAATCATTATCGTTCATCTGTCAATAGACGTGTTGCCAGCATTAAGATAACAAAGGACGAACAAATTAATTCTATTGATCATCGTCGTTAATTGCCATCGTATGTGTTGCCAGCATTAAGATGATAACTAAAAAGAATGATGAGTTCCGGCATTTTGGTAAAAATAAGTGATATGTTGATATATATATATATATATATATATATATATATATATATATATATATATATATATATATATATATATATATATATATATATATATATATATATATATATATATATATATATATATATATAATGAGGCAACATCTTTCGTATGGCAATATTACCACAAACCGGATATCCTAGGTGATAAAAAACTGAGATTTATAGGTGATCGTAGACTGGGCATCCTCGATTATTGTTATCCAGATATCCTCGGTGACTGTAAACTTGACATCCTCGGTGATTGAAAGCAATTAGAATCGCTGTTATTTTCATCTCAACAAATCTAAACTCAAAAATAACTGCTGAACTTCATACTCTAAAATAAGCCATTAATTAGCACATCTTGATAGTGTAAAAAAAACATGATTTTTTGTATCGGCTGATGAAAACTTGATTTAAATATTTATGTTTTGCATCTGAATTTACAGTAAGTTATTGAATTAGCTTTTTAAACTCTTTTTATTTTTGTTGTTGAAATTTGTAAATGATTTAGGAGTTATAAGTGATAGCATTAATTAAGTTTCAGGCATTGGTCTATTTAAGGGTTCTATTATGAAACCAGTAAGTATTTCTGTTACAGGATCAATTTTAGTTTCTGTTATGTAACCAATTAAGGTTTATGTTAAGGGACCAACTACAGTATAAGAGTTCTGTTATGGGACCAGTTTAAGAGCTGGATTTAGATCTGATCTGATCACGTTGATAAAACTCAGGGAAACTGAGTATTATTCCACCTAATATTTCACTGTAATGTTAAGTATACATTATGTTACCATAAACTGTGCCTGTAATAAAGACATGAAAGTGGTGAGAAAGTTTTGGTTTTTTATATTTTAATAATTCGTTTATCGACCCCCATAAAACCCATTCTGATGGGCGGTGGGTGGAAAGTTTAAGTCACAATATACTGTATTGTGAAAAATGATGTGTGTGTGTTATGGGGATTGTAATGATGCGTGAACTTCAAGGTAGTGACGTTTATATAATAATTCATTTTGTCGTGGTCGAACCACATGCCCAGCCATTTCAGTCCCGTCCGGGATTCGAACCTTGGAGCCCCAATTGTGAGGTGAGAACGAACTCAACTGTACTACCCTGACCCTACAATCGGGGATCCCAGGTTCGATTTCCGGCCGGGGCAGAAATGGCTGGACGCGTTTCCTATCACCTAAATAGCTACCCAGGATCGAGTTAGTCAGCTTATTGTGGGGTACCACTTTTGGGGGGTAGGGGGGAGAGAGGTCTGTAGTTCGTCCTTGGGGGGACCTCGATATAAGCCTACCATGTATATACAATGGCTGCCTGTCCCCCGCGACACAATGAATCATGTACTAAGGGGCTCGTATAAAAGATGTGTGAACGTCAAGATAGTGTTGATATCTATGTGTTGCGTCTTGCTGTTGCTCTTGAGTTGCCTGCACGTTTTCGCGGTGCTTTCGTGCTAAATATTATTAATTTTATGGTGCTTACTGGTAAAAATTAAATAGTCCTCATTTACACAAATATAACAAAGATATGCTGTGTTGGTTTATCGCTTGAATTTTATTATGTTATACCAGCAATGTCGTATGGTAATTTGCTCAAGATAGTATGTAAATATAAATCACAGCGCAAGATGGAGTTGAAGTCTTAGAGCAAATGCAAACTAGAGGAAATGTGACATCATTAATTCGAAACGAGGTTTTATAAACAGCGCTTTTCTGGTGTGAAATACCGCATTTAATAAGCGAAAGTTTTTATTACGATTAATATAACTAGCATCTGCAATTGTTTATCACTCGACAATATATTCATGAATATTTCAAAGTTCTGGCCAAAGTCACGTGACTTCTGGCAGCGACGATAGTTTGATTATTGTCTTTTTTTTTATTAACAAGCTTTTTGCCGATGTCAGCGGTTAGTTTATTGTGCAAGCCAGCCCGTTCCGGTATGTGCTTACCTGGGCGGTGCATGCATGTCTGCATCATTATTTCTTGTACACTGTAAGTATTATTATTAAATTTTTCTGGTAGAAGTTTATCCAGATTTGGTTTGATGAAAAGCTTAAGGCACAACAAGATTTCATACTGGCGGCTTCTGCTATGTCCATCTCACTAAACCATTGCAATGCTCACTCTAGTACGTATATATGCTCGAAGCCTGTACAATTGCCCTCCTTTTTAGTCGCTTTAATGATTGCCGTTTAACCATTCATAAATGAATAGGTTTGAGGGTATAATGCCAGCAGTGGAGGTTACATAAGAAG